CAAGTTTGATGAAGAGAAAAGCTGGAGATTTGAAGCTGGCAAATCAATCCCTGTCATAAATAGGGAAGATCATGGTGGAGAAATACAAAAAAATGAAGATGAGCCTCCAAAAAGTCCTCAATCTCCAACAAGCTCTCAATTTTCAAAAAGAACAACTTCTCAAGTTTCCTCTCCAACAAAGACTCATGTATCCTTATCTATAAATTTACTTCTGAGAATCAACATAAATACAGATCACTAAGAGACATTTACTCAACTACTTATGCGTTGTTTGCTGTTGACCCAACATGTGCGGAATCTGCTCTATGTAGTGGCATATGGAAGAAAGCGATGCAAGATAAAATATCGACTACTAAAATAGATAGAAATGGGAGCTAGATGAACTACCAGCTGGTAAGAAAGTAATAAGTCTTAAATGGATATTTAAGTTAAGTTCTTTTCAAATGGAAGTATCAAGAAACACAAAGAAAGATTGGTAGCTCGAGGATTTGTTCAAGAACAAGGAGTGGAATTCGATGAAAGTTTTCTCTGGTGGCCAGATTCGAGACGGTGAGAATGATTCTTGCATTGGCAGCTTATCAATAGTGGATTGTTATGTGAAGTTGGCTTTTCTAAATACATAGATAAATGAAGAAGTGTATGTGCAAAAACCACAAGGATTTGTAAATCAAGGTGAGGAAAGTAAAGTCTGTTGACCAAAAAAGCGTTATATGGTTTGAGACAAGCCCCTCGAGCGTTGTACAGCAAAATCGATCAATTTTTCAATGAGAATGGATTTGAGAGGTGCCCGGACGAACCTACACTCTACTACAAGAATCAAGGTCAGTGGGTTATCGTTCTAGTTAGTTTGTACGTTGATGACATGATATATACAAGTTTTTCTGTGCAGCTTATGACTGAATTCAAGAACTCAATGATGAACATGTATGAAATTACTGATATGGGATATCAACACTATTTTATTGGTTTGGAAATTAAGAAAACAAAGAGTGGCATATTTGTATCACAACAGAAATATGCATCTGAGCTAGTAAAACAGTTGAACATGGAATAGTGCAAAATTGAAACAACTCCTATGAATACAAAAGGAAAGATGAAGATTGAAGATGGCATGGATATGGCAGATGCAATAAGTTTTAGAAGCTGTTAGACCCCATAATTCTTACATGTAAAATTATTGTAAAATGTTCAAGTTGCTGAAGACTAGAGAACCGATGAATATAAATTAGAGATAGGCAATGAAGAACCCGAGATACCTAACCTGATGATTGCCCATTGATGAAGAGTGCCTCTGGTCTATGAACAGAGCCTCTCTTGAACCCTTTTTGGTCTTCAGCTACTAATGGAATGCTTAAGTCATTAGCTTTTATCCAGTCAGTTCATGCCTAACAAACTGACACCTGGAGGCTTTTGATTGGACATGCCACCTAACAAACTTTACAGATGGCAGGCTGTGATTTATCAATGCCTTGACTTTGCTCTCTAGGAGGTTGTAAGTAGTTGTTGAACTACATTCTTTTAGATATCATTTCACATAAACTTTGATTACTATTGTGTGTAATTTCAATTTCAATCTTCACTTGTAATCAAGTTTCTCTCTCAATATCAATGAAGATGATGATGGCTTCCAACTGTTCTTGAGTATTCATAGTTGTTCATGTGTTCTTCATAACCCAAGGAATAGATCATCTTCCTTGGCACTAATTTTCTTAAATCTATTCATAGATTGAGAGATCTGGGATCTTACAGAAGTTTAGTGGGAAAATTGATCTATATCACACACACAAGACCAGACTTAGATTTTGTAGTTGTACTTGTTCCAAGGTTTATTAATTTGTGCTACCAAATAACATTGCGGAGCAACAAAAAGAATCCTTTGATATGTTGCTGCTACTAAACATTTTGGAATATGGTATGTTAAAAAAGAAAGTTTCATCTTGGAAAAGTTTCACCTTGGTTCAGGACCTGTATCATGGCTCTTGAAGAAACAATCAGCGGTGGTATTGTCAACAGTTGAAGCTGAGTATGTGCAGCAGCGGAAGCCTCATGCCAAGCAGTATGGTTACGAAGGTTATTGAGTGATCTAAATCAAGAGAAAAGAGGCGCAACAATTACTCATTATGATAGTCATCTGTTGTTGCAATCACAAAGAACCCTGTCATGCATGGGAGGACCAAGCATATTGAGATAAAACAGCACTTCATAAGAGATCTTGTAGCTGAAGGAAAAATATAGGTGGAACTTTGCAGGTTAATGTATCAATTAACAGACTTGTTCACTAAAGCATTGCCAAAAACTAGATTTGAGGAACTCCGAGCTAAAATGTTCATCTCCAGCTTTGAATCAAGGGGGAGTGTTGAAGAGTAACTCAAAGCTCATGACATGCAGGAGTTATTAGCCCTTTATTTTTTCTTTAAAAATTTTGTATCTTATTATTTAGGTTGTTATTTTTGCATTGAAGTTCCTATTTCAGTTTCCTGTTTTCTTGGTTCTCAGTTTCAATTGTAAGCCTATTTAGAGGGCCTTTTTTATCTGGTTTTTTATCTAGTTGAATAACAATAGTATACTTTTGCATTAAACAACTTTTGCTTTGTCAAATCCTAACAAAGGGACCACCTCCATTTGTCTTCAAAGTCAATAAAAACAACTGATTCCATAATCCCTAGGGGAGTGCTATTGGCACCCCTTTGATAGGGGTGCCAAATACATTGGAAATTGAACCTCATTAAAAAAGGATAAAAAATCAATAAAATAAAAATAATATAATATATTTTATTATTATTACTTTCTATATTAATATATATCCTATAATTTATATATATATATATATATATATATATATATA